CATTGAGAGAACCTAGTTCTCTCCCTAATATTCTTACCCCCATGTCCTCCTCGGAATCCATGTTCTCAGGGAGCTCCTGTGTACGTGTGACCACCGTCTTCTTTCTGTGCTGAGATTCTCTTTCAGTTTATATCAAACAACAGCAAGATAAGACAGCCGTGTGAACAGATTGCCACTGAACACATGAGCGTCAGTAGAGAAGAACATCACGACACTGCCTGATAAATAATTAAAAATGGATTTTTAAGTATCATTGTCCTTAAAGGCTTTTCTGACTCACTAGGAATTCTTCGCTAATTAGTAGGCCACCATCTTTCAAGTTCTCTTGCTCTACTTGAACTTCTTCCTTTCTCTTCTTCTCTGCCCTAATGTAGGACCCACATTTTGACAGTCCAGGAGGTCAGTTTGTCCTTCAAGCAAGTTGTCACCTTGCATCTAACTTTTAAAATACATTTTTTGCATCCTCACAACCTGATATCAAGATTTTAAAATTATTTTCAACTCAAATGTCTGTGTTCTTGAACTCTCACCATGAAATGATATAGTATCTAATTGGAAACATTTTATCTGATTACGGAATAAAATTTTGAGAATGCGTATATTTCGGTCTCACCTCTCTTTCTTATGGTCAAATACCCTTGAATGAAGATGCTACTGCTGGAAAAAGAATGATAGTGAAAAGAAAAGATTCTTCACCAAAGAGAATACTTTTTACATATTATATTGAATTTATATATATGGGTCAATGCTTTTTATTTGCATGACTAATGATAAAATACTTCATCCAAAACTTATGTCTTTGTTTGTTTGGGCCATGGTACATCCAATATTATTCACCAACATCATAATTTAAATTCACTTGTTCTTCCTCAGGCTTCCTTATTCCATGTCCAACTCTCACGTGTACATGAGACGACCGAAAATCCATGACTTGCATCAGGCACACCTTAGCCTTCAAAGAAGCATCCTTGCTCATCAGCAAGGAGGTTTTGGGTAGCAGATTTGCCCAATGCAGTGTGCCCTTTGACCTCTTGACTGCTACATCCCTGAGCATTGATTGTGGATCCAAGCAAGATGAGCTCTTTGGCAACTTCAGTCTTTCCTCTGTTTATCTTACTGCTCCCTATTGGTCCTATTGTGAGGATTTTGCCCTTCTTCTTCTTGAGTTGTAATCCATACTGAAGGTTACAATTCTAGACCTTCATCAGCAAGTGCTTCAAGTTCTTGTGTTCAGGAAGCAAGGTTGCGTCATCTGCATATGGAAGGTTGTTAATGAGTATTCCTCAAATCCTGATGCCATGTTCTTCTTCATATGCTCCAGCTTCTCTGATGATTTGTTTAGCATACGTGAAAGGATTCAACTTTGATGCACACCTTTATTGACCTTAAACCATGCCATATTCCGTTATTGTTTGCACAACTGCATCTTGATCCATTGTACAGGTTTCCCATGAGCACAATGTAATATGAGGGTGTACCCCCCCAAAATGGAATGTTCTTTTTCAAAGCTATGTCTTTTAATTTTTTTTTTTACAAAACAACCTTATCACCTTCAAAGTACTCTCCATTGCACTTAATACATTGGTCAAATCTGTGATTCCATGTTTGGAAACATTTCAAACTCATCTGTTTAGATGGCTGACAGCACTCCCTTGTTTTTTCGTCACCTCTCCTATGTCTTCAGATTGCTGTCCTTTCATGCCCTTCTTCATTCTCGGCAACAAAAAGAAGTTGCACGGAGCTCAAAGTCAGATGAATAAGGTGCATGGGGCAAGAGAGGCATGCTGGTTTTCTGCCAAAAACTGATGCACTGAGATGGCTGTGTGAGCAGGTGCGTTGTCCTGGTGGCAAAACCAGTCCCCCGTCTGCCACAAATCAGTCCTTTTTTGTTGCACATTGTTCCGCCATCTTTTCAGAACCCCTAAATAGAAAGCTTGATTAGCAGTCTAACCTGGTGGAACAAAATGCAAATACACTAAGAGTTGACGTTCTCATCCATTTAGGAAGTTGATGGATGTCCAGAACAAGGTTTGTCATCAATTGACATATCACCTTTTTGGAAATGAAAAAACCACTCATACACTTGAGTTTTTCCTATAGCTCTGTCCTTGTAAGCTGTGTTCAACGTCATAACGGTTTCTGCAGTATTTTTCCTGAGCAGGAAACAAAAATTTCACAGCCACACACTGTTCTCTTAAGTCGGCCATCACAAAAAATGAGGTTTGATTGAAACTGCTTTTACGAAAAAGGTCACTGTGACCAGAGAGAACCTTCCCAGATGATGTCACTGGATGCACTAACTCTGAGCAAGTTGCCCTAGCGGGGCATACTCCCTCTATTCTGGGATTTCCATTCTTCTCAAGACTATCCATAGTTTATTATGATCCTGACAGCCAAATATGTTTACATAGTAAATGAAACACAAGTAAACATCTTTCTGGTATTCTCTATTTCTAGCCAAGGTCCATCTACCATCTGCAATTATATCCCTTATTCCATATCC